GGGAGCGGGCCGTTCTTGAGCCCTGAAATGGAGCAGCAGTGGAGGGGGAGTCATCTTCTGTAGCACTGCCCGAGATGGACATTTCTGGCGGTGGCGGCAATGTCTGAAATCACATCAAGGACTGTCAGTGGGGAGAGGACGATGAAATCCTAAAATGGCAAGTTGTCCTGGTCAGGCTTAGCACCACGTCTCTGTGCAGGTGTACAGACATTCCAGAGGCCCTCCTGCGGGTAATTCACAGGCGCTGACGCTTTCTCAGCGTGTCCCGAAGAAGGCACGTGTTGTCTCAGAGTTGACAAGAAATTGAAAAGAGACTCTGAAGTGCTGTTCCTAAGCATGGGGTCGACCTCTGTAACATTACGTCCTCTGGTACTCTGGCTAGTCAGAAGTTGTCACTTCTCAAAAGCAGGGGCAGCGTGGTTTTGTTCTAGAGAAAAGGCTTTCTTTTTGTGTAAGGTAAAGATGCAGAACTTTGTGGATTTTCATTTTAAGGATTGAGATGGCCTAAGAAAACCTTTCTGATTACTATTCCTGGGTAAGGCTTTATTAGTCCTTAATTAGAGAAACAAATTAGTGTTCGCTGCTATTATGAATTCAGAGGTGAGAATCATTCATGACTTGGCGGTTAGGTTTTTTTCCATCTTTGCCCCACATGGATGTGAACAAGGGGAATAAAGACTCCTTACAGCTGAATGAGAGGGAATTTTTTTTTCTGTATAAAAGAAAACTTATTACAAAGTTTTAAGTCTATCGTTGGTAGTAAGATAATCAGTATTTCTGCAGACAGAGATAATACAGTAAAACTATGTATTCTGTGTCGTACTAAATTGAATAATACTTTAATCTTCTCTTGGAGTGAAGTCAACAAAACTATGAATGCTGCTGTGTTCTTATTTTTATTTTAGTAATTTGGGGGGGTTTAAAAATGTGTGGTACTTAAATAAGTACATTTAAAAATGCCAGTTTCTGTAATGTGTTTCTTGTTCTGGAAGCCTAGCAAGCAAGCACCCCTTTAATGCATGCTTCTCTGTTACTGCTGTTTCTTATGAATATAAGTACACTAGAGAGAGCTGAAGTCTTTTCACAATGTAGTAATGCGTCTCTTCTATTTTTTAATTTTTCAGAACTATCATGACATCATGTCTTGCCACCCAGAAAACTTTCAGTGGGAGCACTGGAGTTTTGAAAATGTTGCTACCATACTTGCTCGCCGGTTCCCTAATAGCTTTATTTGGGTTGTAAAGTGTTCTCGAATGCACCTGCACAAATTCAGTTGTTATGACAACTTTGTTGTGAGCAACATGTTTGGAGCACCAGAGCACAGCACTGACTTTGGAGCTTTCAAGCATCTCCATGCGTTGCTAGTTAATGCATTCAGACTCTCTCAGAATATTCTGCTGTCCCAGAAAAGTGTACATGGTGTCAGCAAGGATGCAAAAGTAGCTGCTTGTAAATCACAGCCACAGTCTGTTCCTACAACAAATGGCTGCTCATCCACAGAAAGAGAGAGAGATTGTGAATGCTCTGATAATTCTGCTATGAACTTCATTATACCGTCTGCTGTAGGTGCAGTGTCATTTACTTTGATTGGCTTCAGTAAAGGTTGTGTGGTTTTGAACCAGCTGCTTTATGAGCTGAAGGAAGCTAAAAAAGACAAGAATATAGATGCCTTCTTAAAAAACATAAAAGCAATTTACTGGCTGGATGGTGGTCACTCGGGAGGAAGCAATACTTGGGTCACTTACTCTGAAGTACTGAAAGAACTTGCAGAGACAGGAATTGAAGTTCATGCTCATGTTACACCATACCAAGTGTTTGACACAATGAGGTCATGGATTGGGCGAGAGCATGAGAAATTTGTACAGATACTTGAAGAATTTGGTGTGGAAATAAATGATCAACTGCATTTTGCTGATGACGTTCCCTCCTTAGATAACCATTTCAGAGTACATGAAGTATTTTGAGACTGTATGTATCTGAATATTCATTGTAAAAGCACTTTTAATACTGTAAATATTGTCATCTAGATATACAACTTCAAGCAGATGCTTTCTGAAGAGAATACTATGTAAGTCCTGCCTTGCAAATAGATACTAGGTATAAATTTCAGTAGCTTAAAAAGGAGGATTGGGACCCCATACCTACAAGAGATGTTGTCATTTGATTCCTGGAAAAAAATGTTGTGAAGAAGTATCCTATATGTGGTTTTTTGTTAAACGTGAACGCTTATTCTCAAACTGTTGGCAAAATTTTTAGTCCTGGATGTCTAATGTCATATACTGCCTTTAATAGGAGTTTAAAGTACTCAAGACTTTCAAATGTCTGGATGCTTCAATTTAGCAGCTTCCAGGGCTAAAAGCTTTGGTCTTTGTCAATAACAGACATAAGGTTAGTTTTTTAGCTTAAGGAAAATGATGATTGTTAGAACAGTCTTAGTTATATATTGTGGTGAAAACTATTTTAGTTAGTTAATTACATCTTCCAGTTTTGTAACATTTCTCCTAGTTGAAACAAAGTCACAAATACATACCTTTGGAATAACAGTGCCAATCCATTTTTCTTCCTTATGTGCACCTTGCCTTTTCTGTCACTATGAAGTTTCATTAATTCATTCTGCAGTATCTGCTGGTGAATAGCCATTTCACCTGGGAGCTTAAAAATTTTGACATAGCTATGTTAAGTGACCGAGAATGTTGGTGAGGGTGTAGCTTATTGCTGTTTCAACATACCTTGCTGTTGCTTTGGCTAACTTCTATAAGGACCAGCAGTAATATCTGTATTTTCAAGTCAAGAGGTGTCTATCCCTGCCTTGGAGTGGTGAGGTTTGTCTTGCTAAGTGCTACATTGTTGTTGACCTAAATCGAGCCATAAGTACATAACGTATTACAAGTTGCGTAAGAAATTTTAGACTCTGTTGATGGTAGCTGTTTCAAAATGCTTCAATTTTTAAAACTATTATCTCCTTTAAATGTATTGCAGTAGTTGTTTCTAGAGCCACCCAAAAATCTATTTTCAGAGCCCAATTTTTCATACAGAAAAAAACCCCTCTAATTGAATACAAAGCCAGGCAAATCAGATACAAAAGACGTAATCTAGTTCAGGCCCCAAATTTGAATGTTCTTTAGAAAGAATTACTGAAACATGGACAAATCAGGGTATCAGTGGAACTTTTCTACTGTTGTTAGTAACTTTCCATTTACCTACAAATAAATCTTAGAGTCACTGCAGCTCTTAATAATGAACCAGTAGCTTAAAATGGTTTTTGATTTCCTGGAAGTATAGGAATACAAAAGCAAGTTAGCAAAACACTGAAGATTACACAAACAAATGTGGCTCAGTTCTGAAAAAAGGCATTTTATTCAACTTTGTGTGTTTGATGGCTTAGCAACATCTTTTCCTTGCTTCTTGCTTCCCATGACTTATACTGTGGAAGGAAAGTCCTAGGTAATCTTCTCTTGGCATCATTAAAACTTAGAAGGTTCACTGGAGACAACATTTTCACAGCTTGCAGAGGTTGCGCATATGTTTGTGATCACTGAAGAATGAGAAAAGTGTGTTGAACTCTTAAGAAATTTTTCTTAAAGTATTAAGGGTAGTAGGAAGGATTATGCATACAGTATGCACCTTACAATGTGAAAGTGAACTCTATTGCTAATAATAGTTAGACTAATGTACCTAGTTGATCAAAAGGGGAAATACTCTATTTTAATTGATGGAAAAAAGTGCAACATGCAAACCAACTCTGACATTTTATAGAAGGATCTGAAATCCAGTTCCATCTGCCTTTTTTTTTAGAGCTCTTTCTTGGAGGCTTTGTTCAACCCTATTTATTGATTACCTTCTTAATGGGTTTATAACAACTTGTTTATGTGTTCCAAGGAAGGCTATTTCCCTTTTTTGGTCCTTTTGGTAACACTTGCAGCGTATGTGGGGACTTTTTTCTGTAAAAGAAAATATGGATCACCTAACAAAGGGGTTTTAATAGAAAGCCTACAAATTGCTTGAAATATCTTAAATTATCCACTTATAAAATTAAAATAAACAACAAAAAAACCCAAACACACCACTGATCTTGCTCCCTCTGTTTTAGACTGACCAGGCTAACTTGGGTATGCTAAAACTTGCCCTATCCAACAACAGTGCAGATGGCAGACCAATTTCTAAACAATTCTGTGCTAGCCAAAACAGCAGGAGTAGGTTGTTGCAAGCTTTTGGAAACAGCTATTAAAATATTGACATTGTCTTCAGAAGTTTTTGGATGTCTGTCCTAGGAAAATAACATTAACCTGTTTGATGGAGGCTGCTTACAATAACTATTAAATAAATTGGCTCAAGTGTTGCTGTATTAATTTGAAGAATAAGCACTTTGTTGTAAAACTAATCTTGTTGTGAGACCTCCTGTTGTGGAGGGAAAACTGACTGGTTGTTTTTCATTCTCTAAACAGTTGTAGTACTTTGTTGGAATGTGCCTCTGTCATTCATTACAATGCATGCTAAAAATAAATTTTGCAAACAATGTAGAAAATAAACTATTTCTAATGGGTGAAACCACTTTGATGTGACTGTAAAACCATTAAACAAGGAATGTGCAGTTAAGTTTTGTGGATTAAGCTTTATCAGGTGGAGACCTAGTTTAAAAAAATCAGGTTTATTTGATAACTTTTCTTCAAAGAGGCTTTGTATTTGTGTAGTCAGCATCTGTAATTCTGAAACAGCTTAGTGGCATCTCGTGTACATGGGAAAGCTGGCATGAAGTACGCAAGGGTGTGAACATTTCTATGTTAGGATGAAATGGGTCATAGTTTGTATATGCCTTTTTTTGATGCTAACTGTAAAGGCAGTTTTTAATAAGCTTAGATGTAGATGCCTGAAGTTAAGCAGTTCTCATGCTTACAGTGGTTTAGTTCAAGACACTTTTCAAATGGACTGAGCAATATGACACAGTCCTTGGTACAACCTAGTATGTAATAGCTGGTATTCTTTATATTACGTGCTCGTTTCTTGTACAATAGACAAGACATTCTTCAGTTTTTGATAAATGCTGGGATGTTTTAAGCTGTGCCTGTTAAATTCCTTTAAAACAAGGCTTGATTCTGTCAAATTGTCCAGGTTCTATATGACTTAAATTATTTTATTTTGCGTGCGTCTTAAGTACTTGAAACTTTGGTAGCCTTCTCCCTATTTAGGACTAAAGTAATCACATCTCTGTAAATGCTACTGCATAAATCAGTATTTGCCCCTAATTTTGCAAGGTGATTAAGGGTCCAAGTCTTAACATGTTGCTGAAAGGAGCAATCTCTTCTGTCCTTCCATTGATAACATCCTGCTTTCTCCCTTGTGTTAGCACAAGCACTTTATGGTGAGCTGTTCTATCTTACTAAGTTAACATTATTGCTGATAGAGATAACTAACAGGAGTGCTATCTATTTAAATGGTCATATAAGTTAAGTGAGACTGCTAAGTCAGGTCAGGAGTTAGATGTTAAAACTGTGGACATTCACAGATAAAAGTGATTGTGCATGGTCATGTGCTCAGGTTTTCCCAAGAGGTTCTTTTTGAGCTATTTGCAGAAAGAAAACTTTGCCTGTTTTTTTCTTCCCTCTTACCGTGCTTCTTATAATGCTCTGTGTCCTAAGGTAACAGCTACTTCATCTCTGCAGATAAACAATATTTGTTGTCTCATACAGACTGAAAGTTGAAGCACTGAGGTTAAAGTATGCCCATCCATTTACCTTGAACGCTTTTTTTAAATTACATGGGGTCTTATCGGTTAATATGAGAGAGAGGTTAAAGAACATTTTTGAATGTGTGTGCTTTGCTGTGAGCCACATTTTTAGGCACATCACTGCCTAGTAGAATCCACAAATTCTGTGCCTGGTGTCCCTGTGCAATACAAATGCAAAGGCAGATGTCTCAGACAGCAGTGCACAAGAGACAGCCTTTTCAAATCACCTTTGGAGTTATTTCTTTACAATCTTTTTAATCTTATATTGAAATCTCCTTTCATTTTTGTAAGGGTGGGAGGTTAAATTAAAAAAAAAAAAAAACACTTCTGATGCTTTTAACCTGGTGAAAATTTATATAGGTTTAAATATTGCTGATGAAGACTCTAAGACCAAAGCTGGCTTTCTGTCAATCTTACTGATCTCTTAACTCTGTTCAGATGCAGGGTGACTGTTTTTAACTTGAATGAAATAACATGAAGTCATTAAGCCATAAGATCATGTAACACCTATGTGGCAGACAGGCAGGCACTGCTTCTCCCAGTGCCAGACATACTGTTCCTGACTAATTCATTCTGTCAGTATTAACAGCATAATTCACTCCTCCCGCTGACAAAAAACACTTGCACAAGATTGGCTGTTCCACATCACTGTGGAAACCATGGAAAACTGATTCAGGCAGTCATTTTGCATATAATGTGGTGTTGGTTATAAAGTAGTGATGGCTGTGTTGTGGTTTCCTGTCATTAGGGCTCCATTACATGTTTCCAAGTGACCCAAGAAGTGCTGAATTCTACTTAAGCAAATGACTGGGGAAAAAAAAGGGAAAAACAAATTCGTACCTGTTTTTTCTTCATGTGTATAAAGATCTCATGTACTTGTGAAAAGGAGCAGAATGCCATCACTTCAAGGTTCAGAATAAATTTTCCTTCTTTTAGTAAGCTTTCAGAGAGCACTTTCAGTCACAATTGTTAGTTTCCTTTGTTAAACTTGGCACTTCAGAGCTTTGTTTCTAAAGAGAGCACTGCTGCAAGACACAGAAAACACTCAATAGTCATAGCAGTGCTGAAGTGCAAAACAAGGCTCTTCACACCTTCCACACCACAGTTTACCCTCTGAGCAATACTCCTGAGCCTGAGTGTCAGATAAAACTATTGCATCCCTTACAGGCTATCTGCATATCTCTTTCCCATTCCCCATCATGAGCAATACATTGATTTTGTGTGATGGAGGTTTTAGGCAATTCATGTCCTGTTTGACAGCTGAAGTATAAATGTTTTCACAGCAAAAATTGTCTGTTACTGTGATCTGTGTTGTTATTGCAAGGAATAGCTTCTGAGCATTTTTGTACGAATGTAGCATCGCGCGTGGAGCTGCGCATTTTACATGGTTGAGCAGTTCTTTTAATGTTTTCAATCTGCTCTTGAAAATGTTGACTAGGAACAGATCTGAACAATGGGAAAGAAAGTAATCTG